AGTCTATAACCAAAACAAGAGTTAATGTGTGTCCATGATCAAAATTCAGTTTGTGTCTAGGTCCCAGTTCAGTATATAATCAATGTATAATAAAGATCGGGGATAGGAGAAGGTGGTAATAAAGACCAGGTTCAGTATACTGACAAAGCAGGATCAGGACTCAGAGTGTAATCCGGGTCAAGTTCACACTATAACCAAGGACCAAGGCTCAGTATGGACCAGGGTGAGGGTTCATGATCAAGGCTAGGGTTCAGTCTTTGACAGGTTCAGGATTTTTTTTTTTTTTGTGACCTTGATGAATTCTATTTTCAAGTCAAGCTTCCTCAGTAGTTTCTAGTTGTAGAAATGGATAATTTACTTAGTACATTTAGGTGACTAGCCCCCTCCCCCAACTCCCCTGCTTTTCCAGTTCCTTGGGGTCTTTGGCCTTCAGAAGAGAAAAAAGACAAAATTGTTTAGAAGGCTGGAATCCCCTGTCATGTTCTCAGGGTGCCCTCTGGTGGCCGTCTCTAATAGTGTTGCTTTTCTCAGGCTTAGTCTTCTTTTGCTTTGGGAAGCCTGGGCATCTGGTATTGTTGTGGAAGCCCATTTGGTTGGCTATGTGCTCTTGCATTACTGCACACCACCTGACAGAGTAGTAGACACAGAGGAATCTGAAAGTAGACAGTGGACACCTCCCCAGGCTTTTCTCTTTTCCTGTTCAGTTGGCATCTATAATTCCTGTTACCAGAGATCTATGTCTCAACTGTTTGATGAAGGTCGTATCTTTTATCCATGAGTTTGACAGGTATTATCATTCACCCACCTGTGACAAACATAGGAGAGACATAATAAAGATCGCCACCTCCTGGTTCTCATTCCTCTTCCTAATCACTAACTTCTGGCCACAGCACCCATAGAAACTCACTGGCACCAGCTGAAGGGTCACAGAGGTTCAGAACATCCTAGGGTCCCTTCTCCACCAGATTGACAGGTTAGACTAAACTAGGTTTGAGGTCTCTGTCTCTACCTGTCCTCATATGCCACCACCTATAGGCCAGAGGCTCCTAAGTCTACATACCAGGGGCCTCTTCTCCAGAACCCAGGCCTGTGGACCCAAGTCCTTTAGGGCTGCTCTGCTGGGCTGCCAGCTCCTAAGTTTCACCTAGAATATGGCCCAGCAATCTATACACAAATGCTCTAGGAAGATTTTTAGCATTTCCTTTTAGAGCCTTTTCCTTCCCCCAGGAAATCCAGCAAGTGACTTGTCCCATTTACCTCAGAGAACGGTGTAGCTGCTTACAGTGGCTACTCCAGCCCAGCCCAGCCCCAGCCCCAGCCCCAGCCCCAGCCCCAGCCCCAGCCCCAG